TTACTCCTAACTCTGGAGATTGAATATCTCATCATCATCATTTTAGTCTTTTTCTAATTAATTGGGGCTCGCTACATGAATCATGGTTCTATATTCTGCTCTATTAAAGGTCATATCATCAGTGAGGCCATAAGTCCTCATGTTCTTTCAGACTACTTCCAATCATGTCCTTTTAAGCTTACCCCTTGCCCATTTTCAATCCTTTCATTTGAACTAACTTGCGCCTCCTAATAAGTGTTGTATTTTGTCGGCACCACACATAGCTAGCCCACCTAAATCTATTATCTTATTTTATTGCCTATTAGTGCCACATCTAGATTCTCTCGAATATATATATTTCAAATTCTATCTCTTCTTGTTTTGTCACTCATCCATCTTAACATCCTTATCTATGCTACACTTATTCTATGGGTATATTGTTTTTTGTCTACCCAATATTCTACCCCACAGAGCAAAGCTGGTCTCATCGTTGTCTTATAGAACTTACCTTTCAACCTCATTGGTATGCAAGCGATCAAATAAAATTCCAGTTGCACATCTCTACTTTGCCCACCCAACTATAATTATGTGTGCGACATCTTCTTCAATCTCTCCATTTTCCTAGATTATCAACCCAAGATATCAAAAGTGCGGCCTTTTTTGTACTTCATGGCTGTCAATCTTAGCTACTTATTCTTCTCCACTCCTGTTATTACTAAATTTTCCCTCTATATACTCTTTATTTATTCTATTAATTTTAAAACATTTGGATTCTAGAGCATCCCTCCAAAGTTTTGACTTTGTGTTGACGTCATTTCAGGTGTCATCAATCAAAACTACGTCATCTGCGAACATGTCCATAACTAAAACAAAAAGGTACGGGCTCAATGCTGACCCTTGATGTAGACTTATTGTCATTGAAAATTCATTCGTTTATCCACTAGTTGTTCTTACGTTAGTTACCTATTCATCATACATCTCTCACCAAATCGATGTAGTGTCTAGAGACGCATTTCTTTTCCAACACCAGCCAAATTAAATCTCGAGGTACTCCATCATAAGCTTTCTCTAGATCAATAAAAGCCATGTGGAGGTCTTTTTCTTTCGCACTAAACTTCTCATTCAGTCACCTAAGTAGGAAAATAGTCACAGTTGTTGACCTTTTGGCATAAAACCAAATTAGATTTCAAATACACTTGTTTCATGTATTAGTTGTTGCTCAATGACTCTCTCCCAGAGCTTCATAGTATGGAGATTGAATATCTGAAGTCACAAATGACTTTAGATTTGTAACACCAGTAATCATATTAATTTTTAAAGTCATTTTTAGGGGAAAATGCCAAAATCACTTTGGATATTGAACATCCAAAATCACTCTTAACTTCAGATTTTTAATAGAAAAAGTATACAACAAAATTGTTTACTTTTAGCATAATGAGATCACAATTGCTCTTGTTTATCAGATTTCAAATCAGGTGGTTGTGAACGTGTCATTGACTAGTCTAAAAGTTCAAAATGAAAATTCTCGAACATCATGACAAAAAGCTATCCAATTTAACATCTGATAGCTAGAAATAATTGTAATCTCCTTGCAACAAAGATAAATGCTATCATAGTATACAATCTTTTTTTAATATATGAAGTTGCATTGTAACAAAGATTTCCATGCAACCCGGATATTCAAAATCCAAAGTCAAGATTGACTTTGGAATTTTAATATCTAAAGTGAAAAATTATTAAGAAAAAGAAAAGACAAAAAATGACTAATAACTTTAGAATAGGCTCAAAATTTGATGCACAAAGTAGCAGCTCCCCACAACATGGTATCTTGAGTTACATCATTATCACATCTAGAGACCTCATCCTCACTTAACTACCCAAGAAAAAAAAAAAACTTTGGATTTTCAATCTCAACCGTGCAAGTAAAATCGGGAAAAAAAAAAAAAGACGGATAAAATATATACGCGCGTAATATACAAATAGGGATTTCCCAATGTAAAACTGGAAAATTTGAGGGAATTTTTTTAAATAATGAGAATTCTAAGGGATAAGCGCATAAATTTACCTGAATAATGATAGGGTCTCCCTCTCTACATCCCCTCTCTCTCCTAATCCCCTTGCAGTTCTGACTCTTGCCGTGCTGCAAGCTCTCACTCTCTCCCCTACCAGCTCTCTCTCTCTCTCTACGAAACGCCCGTTTTGGAAACCCTAATTTCCGATCACCAGTTCATTTTTAAAACTTAACATGTGAACCCTAACCGAAACGTGCTACATTTAGCCGAGGGTGTTGATTGCAATCGGTCCCAAACCCTAACTTACTCTAGTCTGTAAAACCTTGATGTTTATTGAATACAGCATGGGCTTGAAGTTAACAAAGACTGATTGAGGTAGTCATGGCTGATGTGCAAGAATGGTACCAAGGCCATACTCGCATAGGATAACAACCTAGTATGTTTAGTTTTGTTTTTAATGGATAATTATTTCATCATGGTAATGTGCTCTAAATGATACAAACTTAAATTTATTCATGTGGAACTTGTTTGACTCTATCCAAGCATCCAGAGGCAAACCTATACAGGAGTGGATTCCCTTGGTTCACCTTCTTCTTCGCGCTCTTGCAACGAACAAGCTTTTAAGCACAATGACTACTTCCTAGAGCTTATGCTCTTCGGCAGATTGTGCGGAGTTTCACTGAACATGCATGGGTTGTGTCAGAGAAGATGAAAGTATACAAATGAGTTCGATCATGAACTAAATAAGTAAATTCGTTCTCTTTTTCTTTTCCTTTTTGACAAGGAAATGGAAAAACTCCTCATTGACTAGCATGCAAGGTCTTAATACGAATAGATTTGACAAATTTCTCTAGAATTTTACCAAATCAGTTTTCTTGCTTCTTTATTTCTATAACATTCAACTTTTATCTTTCATGTTTCCCCTATACTAATTCTTCTTGATCTTTTACACTCAGAGAGCATCTTATTACTCTGTATTATTTGCATATTTTGTTTATTATGTTGACTATGATTATCATGACTTAAAATCTCTCTTCATTCACTTTCAAACCTCTTTGGTCTTCACAGCAACATGCATGGCTATCTACAGCAGGAGAGTATCGATGCACAATATCACTTCTACACAACTATGCCCAACAACTGAAACCAATGTTTATTTAAGGACTGTAATAATTTGATCACAAGCAGATAAAAGTCTTCAGAAAGTCTTGTGAAAAAAATAAAATAAAATTGAGGTGATTATGGAGCACCATAACGACATCCATGTAGCTTGTAATGTCGTCGCGCACCAACAGGATAGCATGCCATTTATTTGATTTCCAATACTTGTTTTCACACGCTATGTAATGCAGCTTGTCACTCAAACTTCCTTGAGGATATCATAAAATGTCGATGGCCTTTTCCTCAAACCTGCACAGAGCTCCTGAAACAAAATCCAATATTCGCCAATCATGCACTATTCCAATACTTAAATGCAATCATGGCCTTCAAAGGATCCTCTGCATACTTACAAAAAATTAGACCGTACCACTGCATGTACTTGTCTGCCATTGGATCACCTACACCGTCCAACTAAAAAATGGACAGTAAAGATGAACCTTGTTCCATTGATTAATAACGGCCCAATATTCTCAAGTAAGACATGTAGTTCACCGGAGGAACAAGATTTCAATAGAAAAGCACAAACTGAGGGGTGCATGTTCACTGAAATTCACTTAACTGGTGGAAATTTCTATCTACATCAGGACTATATAAAGAGGGAAGCAATCTTCTCCTGTTATATATTCTTATTTTTGTTTTCTTGACACCACATCTCAGTTGAACAATAAGAGGCACCAGGTGATAAGAGAATGGAATGTAAAATTTTCAAAATTATAGACGAATATCTGTGAACAAGTTCTTCAATAGCATGTGGTAATGGGTCATATCCATCAAGTAAACCAAAAGAATTAAAACCACTTGACAACCACAACAAAGAAATGCATGCAAGAATGAGTTTGCTATCTCCTTTGTAACTATTCTATTATTTCTTAATTAAGTTTTTGAATTGGAGTGGGTTGGACTGCACTAGAACCCCAAACTGGTCTGCTCCACAAAATTAGGGTCTAGTGATCCAAAGATTATTCATCCTATCTAAAAACCAATATGGGCATGAATTTCTTATAATCAATGTTCTCTTTTCTTCATTTAGCATTTCTTTGGTTGACACCACTGTAAGGGAAGAGAAGGACAAATTGCTCAAGGTTGATGTACAAGTATAGTGACATAACTCCAGTTTTAAAGATTAATGCAAAATCTAACAAATAGGGTGTATGTGTACTTGTATCTTTGGTGTTACATGTAACAGTACAAATATCCTCTTCATGATTTGCATATCAAATATGAAATTCGATAGTAGGATAATTTAGCATCCAGCAGTATTAGATTTTATTCGTTATTTATCATTAAGAATGAGATTCAAATCGGTGCCTAGGGTACAAAATAAAGGGTGCGGTTTGTATAGAGCCTAGGTTCTAAACAATCGAAGTAAAGCGCACTTTCAAATAGTGTCAAGAAATGTGGTTTCAATACTAGAAATCTTTGTGATAGGCTTAAAATACATTTTCAAAAATAGTGTAGATTAAGCAGATCTATGAAAACTTGAAAATCTTGAAAATTGACTGTCCAAAAATGCATTACAAGATTCACTATTTTTTCCTCATGTCCATGCATCTTGATGTCGAGATGATCAATTTGAGGATATTTGAGCATCAAAACAACCTCTTCTAGTGAAATTTTTGTGGTGGGCCCTAATTTGATTGTTTAGAGCCTCGGCTCTATACAAACTTTTTCCCAAAATAAAAGCTCCAAAAAGTAGAAGCTCAGGGAACATTTGCCTCATAATGAGATCTTATCTAATCATTACTTATTCATACCTCAACTGCTGAAGCTAATCGTAAGATTGTTGCTTCACACCATGGACGGCCTATGAATTGTATGCCTATTGGAAGCCCTTGACTATCATGTCCAACCTGGATTCAGGAAATATAAGAGAACGAAATGATTATGACAAACAAGAGGAAAGGGATACAATGTAAATAGTGTGAACTCAAAAAAAAAGGGCCACATAAACTTCAGCTACTTAAGGATAAGTAAGGTAATCAATCTTCAATATAAAGTAAGTCCTAAGTATAGATTTTCACGGGCCAGTGGATCACTTGTTATCTGGTTATGCCTCATCTTTAACCATATAAGTGATCTTTGTTGGCCACACTGTGTAATTGCATACGCTAAAGTAAATGTTACTAGCACCAGAGAGAAATGACTTCAGATACTCAGCCCTAGTGACACCAAGTGATGCTTGTTTGTCTATATACACTCTGATAGAAAAAATTGCACTTAATTATAAGATGAGTAGATCTCCATCCATTGTAAAGATGTTGAAGAGTAGAATAGAGCATTTTCTACCATGAACTATATAACTATTTAAAGGAAACCACCCAATTTTGTGTCATACTTTATACAACATTTGAAATGGAATCCAGGCAAAGCTCACTATACCAATGTAATAAATGGCACCTCACCCAGCCCTCAGCAGGAGCTATGTGCCAGCTAAAGGCACTCCTCAACTGAGTGCGGAAAATGCCCTCGGCCCTCCGGTAGGGGATATTGGGGAGAGAACAAGTCAACTTTGTGGCAAAATTTGGAGCAAAATGACCTGGGTGTGTTGGTGTGAACCTTAAATTTGTACAGACTGGAGAAACTCACCATTTAGGGTGATTCTGCAACAGTGCCAAAAAGTATTGAAGTTGATTTTACAGGTCACTCTCATGTTTCAGTTCCACTAAAGGCACCAACACAAGAAATATATCATTTTTCAAGGCTGTCGATAGTGTATCAAACAGCAAAAAATGAGAGTTCAAAGAAGTGGAAATGATGAGGCTCTTGACGCAACATTTTCTACTCTATTACATAAAGTTCCATGGCAATGAGATTTTAGGAAAGAGTTGCCGAACGGAGGGGAAATTCAGTTGCAAATTTGATGGATCAATATGTGAACATCTAACTGGTGTTTGGAAAGAGCTCTTTCAATACTTATTTTCAATTGATAGACTGTCTCACTCAAGATCATGGGAGTGACAAAGTGAGCTTCAAATTCCAGAAAGTTCGTCCAGCATAAGAAGTGCACCGAGCATGTAGTACAAGGATCATTCATTGGTTGGAGGTATTAGTGTAACAGTTTCTTGGATAGTCATGATGAATTTGCAGCACCTCATTATCCCATGATATGACCCTTTGATGGCCCAGCCATATTGGGAACATTTCTTTCATCAGCAGTAACCTACTTCTTTCTAATTTTTTGAGCCAGTCCACCCCCTTATCAATTTAAATTTTTTGGCAGTCTTCCTACGCTTGCTGGAAGTCCGCTTACAGATTGCGAAGATTCCAATAAGACCGTCGTGAATCTAGAGCACCGTCCTGATTCAGGTGGAGAAAGGGGAATGACAATCATCAACTAGCAAATATGAGTAATTCTTCTCGCTACTGAAGTGATAACCCAAGTTCCCTCACCAAAACCACTCACATCAAGAGCTTCATGTGAATCCAATGTGGGACCAGAACTATATTCTTTTCTCCCTTCAGCACACTGTTTGGGTCTTTATGCTGACCACCATTACAATTTATCTATCTCTTCACCAAATCTCTCTCTCTCTCTCTCTCTC